GAGGACTGAGTGCAAAAGGACGTGTTTTGGCACAAAAGGGGCTGAGGCACAAATACTAAATCCAAATGACGTGAGAGCCAAAGGCTGATTCACAAGAGGACTGAGGAAAAAAGGGACTGAGTCCAAATGGACGTGATGCACAAGATGGACGGATGTGCACAAGATGGACGTGAGTGCACAAGATGGACGTGAGATGCACAAGATGGACGGAGTGCACAAGATGGACGTGAGGTGCACAAGATGGACGTGAGAGCACAAGATGGGACGTGGAGCACAAGAGGACGTGATGTGCACAAGATGGACGGATGTGCACAAGATGGACGTGAAAATGCACAAGAGGGACGTGATGTGCACAAAAAGGGACATGAGGTGCACAAGAAGGACGTGATGTGCACAAGATGACGTGAGGTGCACAAGATGGACGTGGGGTGCACAAGATGACGTGATGTGCACAAAAAGGGACGTGAGGTGCACAAGATGGAGGGAAATGTGCACAAGATGGACGTAAATTGCACAAATGAAACTGAGTGCACAAGAGGACTGAATGCACAAGATGGACGAGATGTGCACAAGCATGGAAACGTGATGTGCACAAGATGGACGTAGATGCACAAGAGGACGGTGATGCAAAAAGAATGGCCCGGTAAATGTGCACAAAGAATGGAGTGTGAGCACAAGATGGACGTGAGGTGCACAGATGGACGTGAGTGCACAAGATGGCCGTGAGGTGCACAAGACGGACGGATTTGCACAAATGGACGTGAGGTCACAAGATGGACGGTGATGTCACAAGATGGACGTGATGTGCACAAGATGGACGGAGGTGCACAAGACGGACTGATGTGCACAAGAATGGACGTGAATGCACAAGATTGGACGTGATGTGCACAAGATGGACGTGAGGTCACAAGAGGACGTGAGGTGCACAAGATGGCCGTGAGGTGCACAAGACGGACGTGATGTGCACAAGAGGGGACGTGAGGTCACAAATAGACGTGAGGCACAAGATGGACGTGAGGTGCACAAAGATGGGACGTGATGTGCACAAGATGGACGTGAGGTGCACAAATGGACGTGAGATGCACAAGATGGACGTGAGTCCCACAAATGGACGTGAGTGCACAAGATGGACGTGATGTGCACAAGATGGACGTGAGATGCACAAAAAATGAACGTGATGGGGCACAAGATGGACGTGATGTTGCACAAGATGGACGTGATGTGCACAAGAGGACGTGAGATTCACAAGATGGACGTGAGTATGCACAAGATGGATGTGATGTGCACAAGATGGACTGAGATGCACAAAGGACGTGAGGTGCACAAGATGGACGTGAGGTGCACAAGATGGACGTGAGATGCACAAGACGGACGTGATGTGCACAAGATGGACGTGATGTGCACAAGATGGACGTGAGATGCACAAGATGGACGTGATGTGCACAAGATGGACGTGAGATGCACAAGATGGACGTGAGATGCACAAGATGGACGTGATGTGCACAAGATGGACGTGAGATGCACAAGATGGACGTGAGATGCACAAGATGGACGTGATGTGCACAAGATGGACGTGAGATGCACAAGATGGACGTGAGATGCACAAGATGGATGTGATGTGCACAAGATGGACGTGAGATGCACAAGATGGACGTGAGGTGCACAAGATGGACGTGAGATGCACAAGATGGACGTGATGTGCACAAGATGGACGTGATGTGCACAAGATGGACGTGAGATGCACAAGATGGACGTGAGATGCACAAGATGGACGTGATGTGCACAAGATGGACGTGAGATGCACAAGATGGACGTGAGGTGCACAAGATGGACGTGAGGTGCACAAGATGGACGTGAGATGCACAAGACGGACGTGATGTGCACAAGATGGACGTGATGTGCACAAGATGGACGTGAGGTGTACAAGATGGACGTGAGGTGCACAAGATGGACGTGAGGTGCACAAGATGGACGTGAGGTGCACAAGATGGACGTGAGGTGCACAAGACGGACGTGATGTGCACAAGATGGACGTGAGGTGCACAAGATGGACGTGAGATGCACAAGATGGACGTGAGATGCACAAGATGGACGTGATGT